AACACAATTAGATTCTCCAGAGTCGTCCTCATGTCAGGGGCCACTCCCTGGACTGTCCCCACCTTTTCCCTCCGCACAGGTACCCCCACCTGTACCCACTGAACAGGTGTTTGTACTGCGTGGGTTCCATCGTCCTGTGAAACCCGCCTGGCTCAGAGATGTGAGGAAGGTGGCCGTGGGGGCTCCTCTGCCCACGCCCGCCCCCTGCCTCGGGCGTCCTGTGCTCTGCTGCCAGGTCCCTGTGGTTCTTCCGCTCCTCCAGCAGGGCTCTGTGCTGAAGTGAAGAGCAGGCATGGTGGCCGTTACAGAGTCAGGCAGAGCAGGATTGGTGTGCCAGGTAGTCTCCAAAATACAGTGTCTCGTGCTCGCAGGAGCTTTGAATCGGTCGGGCTTTCTGAGTGAATTTCCCTAGGAAGAGAGCAGACATGTTTGGACACCTGCCTGGGAGCTGTCGGGGCGCACAGAGGACATGGGGCTGCCGTGGACTGGGGTGGCCGTCTCTGGAGGGCCCGCAGGCTGCCTGCCTGGGGCCAACATGAGGCCTCACTGCTCGGAGACCACGCGGGCCTCAGAGGCTCCGTCCCCACAAGCCCGAGGGCCACTTTGTTGCCTGGACGCGTCGGGAGCACTCACTTCCTGGGCTGGACGGTCTGTGCGACCCTTTCACCGTGGAGTCCAGGCAGATGCGTGGGACCCAGTGGGGCCCTGTGTTGGGGGGCCTCACGGTGCTGCGCGCCCCCTCCCCCGCCGTTTCTCCAGGGTTTCATGCACGGTCTGGTTCTTCTCTGACAGAGAGGAAGGTCCTGTAAGTGACTTGTTTGCAAGTGACTTCAACCACTTTTGCCATTAAGTATTTTGTCCAAACTGCTAGAAAGTAGGAATACTGACTGATTTAGATACTCGCAGTTTATATTTCTCTTTCCCCTCCAGCTCTGTCCTGTGCATTTGGGGAGGGTGGAAGGTTGAGGCAGAAGGAAGGGGACTGAGTACCTCCTGGGAGTGGGACGCAAGAGGCAAAGCACTTGAGCCCAGGCCGCTGCGTGGTGGTGTTTCGCTCTATGTAGAGTGACCTGCGGCCAGTAACTGGTTAAACACACCTGTTGCCAGCAGGTAACGAGGTTTGCTTTTCTCCTCTCTGCATCCCATGCCCACTGATTTTTATGTCTGACTTGTGAGTTGCATGTGGGGTCATTCAGAAAAGAATGTTGGTATCTGCTGCAACTTTAGGACACAGTTGAGCAATGTCACAGGTTCAGGTCTGCCACAAGCCGAGCCAGCTGTCCACGGGGCCTGCAGATGCCTGCTTTTCCAACAGAGTGTCAGCTAGAAATTTTGGCTCCACAGGCAAGGCAGGGTGCGGGAGCCGCTCAGCTTAGAAGGAAGCCCTGGGGAGAGGAGAGGTGCAGGAGGGGGTGGTGCTGGGCCTACGGGCTGGTGCCTCGCTGCCTGTGGGTCATTGCTCTGGTCTCATCGATACTGGTGTGCAGGGACTACATGGGTTCTCGTGTGATTCTGTTCATAATTGGGGTGAGCTTTAGCGGTTGGCAAATCAGAAGTACTTTTGCCATGTTTTAAAAAGTCATGCTTTTTGTTCTGTCTTCAACAATGTATCATGGTAAATAGACATCCCCCTCCATTAAAATAAACAAGTGACAGAAAACTCAAAGTTTGTTTAGAAATTGTTTTACAGCCTTTATCAACTCTTTTTTTTAAGATTTTATTTATTTGACGGAGAGAGAGACAGCGAGAGAGGGAACACAAGCAGGGGGAGTGGGAGAGGGAGAAGCAGGCTTCCCGCCGAGCAGGGAGCCCGATGCGGGGCTCGATCCCAGGACCCTGGGATCATGACCTGAGCCGAAGGCAGACGCTTAACGACTGAGCCACCCAGGCGCCCCTGAAATGCAGTTGTTGTGTTTTTTTTTAAAGATTTTATTTATTTATTTGACAGAGACACAGCGAGAGAGGGAACACAAGCAGGGGGAGTGGGAGAGGGAGAAGCAGGCTTCCCGCCAAGCAGGGAGCCCGATGCGGGGCTCGATCCCAGGACCCTGGGATCATGACCTGAGCCGAAGGCAGACGCTTAACGACTGAGCCACCCAGGCGCCCCAGACTTAATCAACTCTTGTGAGTGTGTTGATGCCCGTGTGCTACCCCGTACTTGGGGGTGTTCGCTGGGACCTGCATGGGGGCAGTGCTGGGGGGCGGTCAGGGTGGCCTCTCCTTCCCCCCGCCTCTGCTTCTCCGGACACACCACAACCTCTTCTCCTCTTTCCTGAGAGATAAATTATGGGCTCTGTTAGACCGAGACTGGGAGGGCGTTAGCTGGGTCAGGAGGAGGGCCACGTGATCTTAGTGGTGACTGTTCCCAAAAAAGGGTCAAGTAGCTCCACCAAGAAGCAGGTGATGCCCTTAATTTATGAGGGAGAGAGCTGCACATCGGTACTGACCTGTGTGTGTGGGCGCCTACTTTTGTTCTTGGAAGGGAGACAGATTCCTTCTCAACACTCACGAAAGTTTTTTCTGGAATAGAGAAAGCCCCAGAAGTCTCCGCACGTGGCTGCTCACACTGCTTCACGGGAGCCGCCCTCGGCTGTTTTTGTTGGCTCTGGGCGTTAGTTCTTGGCGGGCTCCGGCTCTTGTCAAGTGCCACTAACCTTCATTTCTTTAGAAATGCCCCAGACAGCAGTGAGCTTTTGAAATATTTTCTGTTTGTGTAGAGTGTTTTCATTTTAGGGCCTAGGAAAGGGGAATGAGCTGGGTGTTTGTTCAGCTGCTCCCTCCGAGTGCTGGTCCCGAAACCTGCTGGCCAGGGAGACAGCTTGCTGCAAACGTGGACTTGGGCCACTGCAGACCGACAGACTCCAGACCCGTAGGCAGACTCTGCTCTCACAAGCTTCCAAGCAGTTCCTTTGCAGCCAGCCCTGGTGGCCTCCACCCAAGAAGGAGAAGGTGGTGCACCTCCTGCCCCTTCCCCCGCGGCAGTGACTTCTGCTCATCTCCCTGCCCTCTCTGTCCCTCTGCCATGGGCCCCTGCTATTTCCTACCCTCACGCTGGGGCCTGGCGGACAAGAGGGGCCACTATGCCCCAGCTGGCAGGGGCGCACACGCTGACCTGCCCTGGGGGACGGGAGGGCAGGAGGTAGATGGGAGGGGTGTCTGCTCTGGGCTGCGTGAGCCCCGGGCCGCCCCCCATCCTGCCCCTGCAGCCCAGATCTCCTGTGCTCCTCCTCCTTCCTGCTGAATCTCTTGCTGATCCGAGGAATGCTTGTCTTCTCTCCCAGTTACAGGGATTTCCTTTCTCGGAGGAGCCGCGAGCCAGGGGAGGGGCGTTGGCCATACAGTCTCCGTTTTGTCAGCGGAGGAAACTGCGCAGCTTGAATATGTGTGTGTTTAGTGAATCCACATGTTTGATCCCAAATTACTTTTGTGTGCTTCTGCCAGAATTATGGCTACAGAAAAGTTGTGTGTGTGTATGGATGGGGACTGGGAACTAGAACGGCAGAAACGGCAGTGCATTTGGCGGAGGGGGGGCACTGTGTCCTCCTGAACACCAGTGCCCTAAACCCAGAACCTGACGATATTTTTAAAAAGCATCGTGGAGTGAACTCAGATTAAACTTTCTTCCTAAATACTAGGCATGCTTTATTGGAGACAGATTTAAAAATCAACCACTTAATAAAAGACACCCATTGAACGTGCACATTCAGTGGGTCTGACAAACGCACACATCCGTGTAAGGGCAACTTCAGTCCAGGTTAACGTGTCCTCGAACCACTTCGCACTCACACTCTGCTTCCCTTCGTTAGGGTTTTTTTCCTGTTCCAGAACTTCATGTAAATGGAACCATACAGTATGTGATCTTGCCATTGGCCCTTTCTACTCCGCATACTGTTTTTGAGACTTACCTGTGTTGTTGCTGACATCAAGTACGTCGGCCTTCGCTGCTGCTGAGCCGGCCGTTCCAGGGGACGCCTTCTGTAGGTGCCCGGCGGTGGACGCTGCGTGGCCTCCGGTGTTCAGCTGCCGTGAGTACAGACACCGCAGAAGTTTGTGCAGGTCTGACCATGGATGTGCAGTCATTGCTCCTGGTAAATCTCGGACAGAGCTGATGGGTGATATAAACATGCACGTTTGCCTTTTAAGAGGCTTCAGAACGATTTTCCAAGGGGATGAACCCTTTTACGTTCCCGGTGATTTACAAGAGCTTGTTGAGTTTCTCCCAACACTTGGAGTTGTCCGTCTTTGAGATTTGAGCCTCGGGGCATGCCTATGGGACTGTCTCCTGTGGTTTTGGATTGCATCTCCCTGGTGACTAAAGATGCCGAGTCTTCTTCGTTTGGGTGCTCACTGGTCACGCGTGTATCTTCCTGTGTGAAGAGTCCTTCAAGTCTTTCGACTTTTTTACTAAGATACAGGTCCTTTCTCCCAGTCTGTGGCTTGCCTTTGTTTTCATTTCTCAAACGTGTCTTAATGAACAGAAATTATGAATTAGGATTAAGTCCATCTTATCAGTTTTTCCTGTCAAGATTTGTGCTTTTTTGTCCTAAGAACCTAAGAAGTCTTTTCTACCCCAAGACTTTCTCCCTGTTTTTTCCTAGAGGTTTTATGGTTTTGTCTTTTACATGTAGGTGTGTCAGCTGTTTGGGTTCATCGAGTGTGGTGTGAAGGGGGGATTGTGGGTGACAGTCTTCCTCTGCGTACCCGGCTCTAGCATCCGAGCCAGTTGGCACCTCTGTTGAAGGTCGGACGGCCAGACACAGTGCAGACCCTTCGTCTCTGTCCGCGAGCCACTTCCACGCTGCCTTTGTTCCCATGGCAGCAGCAGGAATGAAGCTAAGGGTAGTTGTACTGAAAAAATCAGGTATGGTTAGGTCCTCCAGCTGTGTTCTTCCTTTTCAAAATTGCTTTTTTTTTTTTTTAGGTCTTTTGAATTTCTGTAGACATTTAGATTCAGCTGTCGAGTCTGCTTGAGTTTTCATTGGAATTGCACTGAATCTGTAGACCCATTTGGGGGTCTTACCAAGACTGAATGTTCTAATCCATAAACATGGTACATCTCTTCATTTATTTAGGCTTCTTGGATTTCTCTCAGAAATGTTTTATAGTTTTCAGTATACAGGTATTGCATAAATTTAACAAAATACATCACTAAGTATTTTCTGGGTTTTGGTGCTATCAAAAACTGGTATTAAAAGTTAATACCAGTTTTATTGCTGTAAATCTGCTAAATTACCTTATTAGTTATAGTAGGTTAGGTGTAGTAGGGTTCTTGTTTGTTTTAAGTTAACAATTCACTGTGAAGTGATGAATGGACTTCTACGTGTTTCTGACCTAGAGCTCATATCCCCTGGTCTTGGCTCGCCATGCGGCCAAGCCTCCAGGGCAGAGTCACTAGAAGTGGTTCTGCCAAACGCTTGTCACGCTCAGAGTTGTGTTTGTGTTATCACTTGCACTGTGGAGAAGGACACGCCTAGAGAAGGGCGCTGGCCGCGAATGCACAGCTCAGCGGATCCTCATCAAGCAGGTGTGTGTGAAGCCACCCCAGAACCCCTTTCTTGCTCCTTCCCGATGACTTTCTTATCCTTCCCAAAGTTAAATATTGTCCTGTTTGTTGATGTGACAGTCCTGCCTGGTTTTGAACTTTTTATAAGTGGCATCATACATAGCCTTTTGTGTCCGCCTCTCTCACCCTGGCTTGCTTGCCTTTTCACTATCTGAAAGCTACCAGTTGATAAATAGAGTTCTTAATTTTAGGGCAGGTCCATTTAGTAATCTTTTCCTTTACAGTCAGTCTCATTGTGCCTTCTTCTTGAGACATTTTTTCCTACTTTTAGGCCCTGAAGTTATTCTCCTAGTTCCAGATGCTTTATTTCTTTTTTACCTTTTATGCTTTGATCTAAACTCTACTTGAATTGTTTTTGTTCATTTTTATTTAAGTTTAACATATACACAGATCAGGGTGCAAGTCATAAGTGTACAGTTCGTGGAGTTGTGGGAAACTGAGCTGTCCTGTGCAGTCGTCCGTAGGTGCAGGACCAGAGCGCGGCCGGCTTCTCGCGTGACCTCCTGTTCCTCCTCAGAAACCCCGTCCTCTTGTCTACAGCATGACTGGAATGCAAACACCCAGTTAGTTTTATCTCATTTTGACCTTTATGTAATTCCTCACATATTCTTTTATATCTGGCTTATCTTGCCCAGCATTACGT